TAAAAAAAAAAAACCAGAGACTGTTTGGCCTTAAAAAAAAAAAAAAAAAAAGTCTTTAGACTTGTAGTCACTCAGTTCCAAGTAGCCAGGAGTGACCTGAGTGATGGGAAAAGAAAGAATTGATGGAGCAGATGTTGTTAAAGATTAATGGTATTGGAGGAATGATTGATCATGTAGCTGTTAAATGCTCTGTGAAATAGACAGTATAACTCTGCAAAATGCAGGAGAAACCAACATCTTTAACTTGTGCCTTTGACCACATGGGGAATGGGTCCCCAGCCCTAAGATTTTTTTTTTTTTGTAAATAATGTTTACTGCCAGTTTTTTTCTAATGTAGTCAATTTTTATCACTTCTTCTTCTTCTTTTTTAATGTGCAGTTGGGATAATGAATCCATTCTACTTGCACAGAGCTGGGTGCCACGAGAAACAGGTATCATACTGCAATGATTGTGTTTAGTATTTGTCATTTTTTATCCCTCCCCCCATGTAATAACTTAAAAATGGCTTTTTCCCCAAACAGTAATATTTGCCTCAGATGTAAGAATAAATTTTGACAAATTTCGAAACTGCATGACAGCAACTGTAATCTCAAAAACCATTATTACAACTAATCCAGGTAAAAAGTTATCTGAAATTTTTTATCCCTTTGAAAATGACTGTATCACATATTCCAATATTTGTGTATTTAAGAATGAAAACAAAACTTAGATTTCATTTGAATTAAAAATGAAAGATTGTTTTATATGACTTTTTAAAATTATCTTGCCCCCTTACCCCCTCTAAAACTTCCCCTTGCTCCTGCCTTTATATGACTTTTTGTTGTTGTTGTTCACCTCACCTAAGGATATTTTTCCATTGATTTTTAGAGAGAGTAGAAGGGAGGGGGAGAGACAGAGAAAGAGAAACATCGATTGGTTGCCTCCCACACACTTCCAGAAGGGGATTGTTTTAACAAAGGTCTATTTGTATACTTCCCTTAGTTATGTACTCCCCTTTCCATTTTTTTATTTTATTCCCTTTTGTTGTTAAAATGGGCAAAGGTTAAAAATAATTTTGGATCTTTTACAGTTATTTAAAAAGTCATCAGTTACGCCCTAGCTGCTTTGGCTCAGTGGATAGAGCGTCAGCCTGAGGTCTGAAGGGTCCCGGGTTCAATTCTGGTCAAGGGCACATGCCTGGGTTGCAGGCTCCATCCCCAGTAGGGGTCATGCAGAAGCAGCTGATCAATGATTCTCATCATTGATGTTTCCCTCTCTCTCTCCCTCTCCCTTCCTCTCTGAAATCAATTAAAAAAAAAAGCAATCAGTTTGATTTTTAATTATTATGCATTTTCAATTTAAGAGACACCAGAAGCTAACATCTTATTGAATTTTATAAGAGGAAACAAAGAAACAAATCCTCAGGATGATGCAATTGACAGTTATTTGGAAGAATCCATAAATTGTAAGTGACCTTTAAATATTATTTGAATTTTTAAAGGGCCAAAATTGGGGCCTATAAAGTTTTGTTTTACATAGTAAAAGATCCTGTATTCTGATTCTGTAACTGCTATATTTCGACTTTTTAAAGTAGTTTAAAACTCTTGGAGCTTTCTATAATCTTTTGCCAATCTGATGAAAGCTCAAATAAATGAGTTGACTATGGGTTTTTTTGGTCATTGATTTTTAAGAATTCTTTAGATATTTTTTTTTGTCTTTTGCCATCATCTCCCACTGTGTAGCTTGCCTTTTCACTCTTCTAATGGCATCTTCTGATAATCATAAATTCTTCATTTTATTTTTTTATTTTTAATTTTTTTGTTTTATTGCTTAAAGTATTACAAAGAGTATTACATCTGTTTCCTTTTTTCCCCCTTGACCTTCCCCTGACCTCCCCTACATCCCAGTGTCTTGTGTCCATTGCTTCATTTTAATAAGCATTAATTTCTCATTCTTTCCCATTTTTATTATTTTTTTGCTTTCCCCCCATTTATATTAATAAGTTGTAATATAGCAAGTATAATAATTGTTCTGTTACTTAACTAAGCTTCTACATGTTCTCATTTGAACTTTGTAGCTTTTCTATTTGGATATAATTCTTTGTAATTCTTAGAATATGTATAGAGAGAGCTATAATAACTTCTTTTTATTTTTAGTAAATACAATAGTTGATGTCTATACAGTTAAACAATTAAAGGCAAAAGCTTTGAAGAATGAAGGAAAAGATCCTTTTTATGGCATTCTTTATGCTTACATTTCTACACTGAACATTGATGATGAAACTACAAAAGTAGTTCGAAATAGATGGTAAGTAGCCAAATTATTTTTAGCAAATTCATTCTTGTAAGAAATAAAAAACAATTATTGTTAATAAACTTTTAAGTTCCATAAAAGTTTAACTATACTTGGGCATCACCGTGGTTATACATGTGAGGGAAATGTATAATTAAGTAGCATATACTGAAGTTTCCATGGCAAGTTATTTAGATTTAAAGATTTTAATTGTCTTTTAAAGAAAATTTTAAATTAAAAGGCAATTATATCTGTAGTCCTAAACTGTAATGATACTGCCAGAAACTTTTAACTAGAATGACAAATTGTTGTTTTATAATGTATTAGAAAATTATTTTGGTTGCCACATTCTATAGCAAGTGACAGCATTTAAAAAAATAGATTTTTGTTGATTTCAGAGAGGAAGGGAGAGGGAGAGAGAGATAGGAACATCAATGATGAGAGAGAACCATTGATAGGTTGCCTCCTGCATGCCCCACACTGGAGATTGAGCCCCATCCTGGACATATGTCCTGACTGGGAATTGAACCCTGACCTCCTGGTTCATAGGTCGATGCTCAATCACTGAGCCACACCGGCTGGGCAAGTGACTGCATTTAAAAAGATTATTTTCAACTGCATGATGAATGATTTCTAACCACTCATAGGTCAAAATATCTATTGCATAGAAAAGTAAACCCCAGAAGAATTAATAATCTTATCCAAAAGATAGTTGGCAAGAAATGTCTAAAATGTTATTGTGAAATCTCCCTATGGGCTTTTTTTTTTTTTAAAGCAGATTCTTTTCTTTTTTTAAAAATATATTTTACTGATTTTTTACAGAGAGGAAGGGAGAAGGATAGAGAGTTAGAAACATCGATGAGAGAGAAACATCAATCAGCTGCCTCCTGCACACTCCCCACTGGGGATGTGCCCGCAACCAAGGTACATGCCCTTGGCCGGAATTGAACCTGGGACCCTTGAGTCCGCAGGCCGACGCTCTATCCACTGAGCCAAACCGGTTAGGGCTCCCTATGGGCTTTTGTAATAGAAATTTTTATGGAGATAGTTCTAGGTTAACATGGAGTTTTAAGAAATAATATGGAAAGAGTCCATGTGCACTTTGACCAATTTCCTCCAATGTATCACATCATAGCCAGAATATTTACATTAATTCCATCCACTCATTTTAAATATATTTTTATTGACTTCAGAGAGGAAGGGGGAGGGAGAGAGAGATAGAAACATCAGTGATGAGATATATTCATCAATTGGGTACCTCCTGCATGCCCCCACCTTCCCCACTGGGAATCCAGCCAAAACCCAGGTATGTACCCTGACTGGGAATCAAATCGTGACCTCCTGGTTCATAGGTTGATGTTCAACCACTGAGCCACACCGGCTGGACTCAATCCACTTATTTTATTCAAATTTCCCCAGATTGACATGCAGTCATTTGTGTGCACATGTGTACATTAAGTTCTATGTAGTTTTATCACATGTATAGGTTTGTTTGCCTATGACCACAGTCAAGATATTGACCTATGGATTTTTTTTTTAATCCTCACCCAAGGGTATGTTTTTATGGATTTTTTAGAGGGAGAGGAAGAAAGAGAGAGAGACATCGAGACATCGAGACATCTATGTAGGAGAGAAACCATGATCGGTTGCCTCCCATATATGACCTGACATGGGATCAAACCAACAACCTTGGTGTATGGGGAGGATGCTCTAACCAACTGGCCTACCTGGCCAGGGCAGTTGACCTATGGATTTTTAAAACACTTTATGATTTTGTATTGAAGTTGAAAAAAATTAATGTGGAGGCTATTGTGTAAGGCAGTTATTTTTTGAAAAATATTTTTCACAAATTTAAATAATTTTTGTCTCATTTTTTCCTACAGCTTTAGTATTGATATGTGAAGAAAAGCATCTAACATTTACTTTAAATGTGATCTGTGGCTAGATAAGAAACCACTATCTTCAGATCACTCTCTTTTCTTGAGAAATTTGAATTAGTCCTTTCCAAATTGGCTAAAGTAAGACCTGCTTCAAAAATATGAAATAGCATGTAATTACCACTTAAAGAGAGGTGAATGTGTCACTAGTAGTAATAATAGCATTTAGGGTGTGAACTTACCCAACCCTACGGTTTTTCTGTAGATGTACAGAAGACCTAATAAGTACCATCAAGTGAGCATTTGTGGAACCTAGGCTTTCTAGTCACAAGACACCATTCCTGCCCTTAGAACACAGCCGCAGGGATATAAGATGGACATGCCTGCAATAACAAGGAATAGGATGTGACAGGATATAGTCAGTGCTGAAGTATAAATTCTGCAGCTGTTCAGAGAAGGGAAGGAGTTAAGGTTGTGTGGTGGGGGGTGGGCAAGAAAGGAAGGCCCTAGTAGGGGCAGGACCAGCATGGGGGAAGATAGGAAGCAGGACAATGAGCTTATCCCAGTTTCAGATGAATCACAAATACTAAAAAAGACTGAGAACACATGTGGAATTATTTCTTGTAATTTTATGTTTGTCTTGTATCCTGCGCAGTGCTGAGCACTCTGAAATTACTTACTCTGATTTAGACTTTTAAGTGATAATTCTGCTGGAAAACAGATTTGTTACTTAGGGCCTTCACATTTTATCATTGTCCTTCCTTTCTTTTCAGTTCAAGCTGTGGTTACATTGTAAATGAAGCTTCCAGCATTTGTACAACTTGCAACAAAGATTCTTCGAAGTTTAAATCCGTTTTTCTCAGCTTTGATATGCTAATTGATCTTACTGATCACACAGGTACCCTCCATTCCTGTAGTCTCACAGGAAATGTTGCGGAGGAGACTTTGGGCTGCACGGTAAATAGCAAAAAAGAAACCATGTTTGGAAATATGTCCAAATTGGATTTTCTTCCTCTAAAATATAGGTTATTTTGGTGAACATTTGATAGCAATTAATTTATTAATAAAGAGGTCTGTGAAAAATCAATCTTGATTTAAATATACATTGCTTTCTTTAATGAACAAATAAGTACATATTGTATATTGAAATCATAGCTAATATTATTAGGAATAATGACAGAGACCCTTATTTATTCTCAGTGGAGAATAAACAAGACATTTATATAGTCAAATAACAATGGGTAAAACAACACATTGAAGATGTCAATCAGTTATGAGGTAGCTCTTCCAGAAGGAGGATTGGCAATATTTTACACACTCAGCTGTAGAAAGTCAGCCATGAATGTTCCCCATCTGCCGCTGTAGGACAGCAGCAGCAGATACTTAGAGATTAGATTGTACACTTGATGATAAGCACTTGTTTCTTATTGTTAAAACCAGCTCCTGAAGTTTACCATTAAACCTCAGTTCCAAGTGATTTCCAGTTTGTCAAGGGGAGTTTTCTGTGCTAACCAACCAGATTAGTTTCAGAGATTTAATTTAGAGTAGATATCTGACCTTATCTCCTCCATCAAGAGAATTGAGCTGTAATTACTGTGAATAAAATTCCACTTCTAATGAGAAAATTGATGTTTCACCTTGTTAAGATGAGTTATCTATATAAACTTTGGAAATACTTGTTTGATTTATTTTTTAAATCAGGTAAATGAGTTTCTTGCAATGACGGATGAACAGAAAACAGCATTAAAGTGGCAATTTCTTTTGGAAAGAAGTAAAATTTATTTAAAAGTTAGTATATTTTACAGTACTATATTGTTCTATATATTCAAACAAAAGAAAATCCTAGAGCTTGACCAAATAAATAATTTCTTATTTTAATGATGCCCAATTCCCAGATGTGCAGAAGGATTTGGCTACTGTAGAAACAATGGAAGTAATCAGGTTTTTTCATATAGCATAAAGTAGTTACAAATGACACCATATAAATAGGTCAACAAAGAAAATACCCAGTAATGTTAACTCCAAGATTAGGCACCTGGCTTTAGAGCAGGGGTGGGCAAACTTTTTGACTCGAGGGCCACAATGGGTTCTTAAACTGGACCAGAGGGCCGGAACAAAAGCATGGATGGAGTGTTTGTGTGAACTAATATAAATTCAAAGTAAGCATCATTACATAAAAGGCCGTAGTTTGCCCACGGCTGCTTTAGAGTCAAGATGGGTCTGCCCCACCCACAAAATCCATGTGGCAATCTCCTCACTTCAGTGAGCGGGATATAATAGCATATGGTTAAACGCTTAGATGCTGGATGAGACAGACTCAAGTAAGAATTCCAATTCTACCATTCCTCAGCCGGTGTGACCTGGGGAGATTAATTAACTTCTCTAAGCCTCTAAAATTCTGTAATCCTAAAACTCGATCAGACTTCTGAAGCACCAATAACACTGCAGTGTTGGAGGTTCATAGAATCTTTGTGTTAAATGTGTAAAGGGAAGTGAGCCTTGTTTTGCAAATGAGGAAAATGGGACCAAGAAATGTTGCCACTAGCCCCAAGTCACAGGTGAGATAGGGCTGCTGCCTACATTATTACTCTCCTCCCATCATTCTCAAATGTTTTCTCCTTTACACTCTTAACAGTTTTGAAGCACCGGGTCTCTAGTTATTAATAAATTTCGTCATCATATTCCTGTAGTCTAACAGATTATGTTACTACTCCAGGTTAATGTCGATCACAACTGGTAGCTTAAACGTATTTTAAGCCCTATTTTTCTATGTGTTGGATTTGAAATCCCAACTTTCCTACCAAAGAGAAATGTCATGAAAAAAATGACATGGATTTTTACAAAAGCCAGATCTTAATTTCTCTACTGAACTCTGCCTGAGACTTGAACTCTTTTGTCTTGGAACTTGAATCAACGTTGATGTTAACAGCTGTAAGCAAAACTCATTGTGGTTCTCTATTGCATTCTCTGTTGTGGTTATTGGTTTTCAACTTTATATACACGGTAGTCTTTAAAACTAACTTTCTCTCTCTTTTCTCCCTACAGGTTTTTTTATCAGACAGAGCAAGGTGTAGATTGAGAATTAGTGTGATCTCATGTAAGCTTGCAGATCCTGTTGAGGCATGTAGGAACTTGTCTGGACAAGGAAATATTTAAATCAGATATCATTATAAACTCTGGAAAAGAATATGAGTTTTAACTCCCCTTAATGTGGATGATGAGTTGAAAATTATGGATAAAATGTACTTTGTTCAAATGTGGTAAAAATGTTTCTATAAATAGTTGTTTCCTCCTGGAGTTGGTTGGGGGTAAATCTTAAATATCTATCTCACCTGAGCTCAATTCTTAGCAGGCCATTTCTACCAGCTTGGCCTTCTCTCTTCCCAAGTTGGAAAATGTTTGCATGAGTAATAAACAAATTTAATCTTTCCCTCAGATTGATTTCTTTTCTTAAGCCCCTTTCCTCCTTATTTTATTTCCCTGAGAAAGATCAGAACCTCTAAAAACAACTTACCTAGAGTTTGCCAATGGCTCAATCTGCTTTCCTGGAGCTACAAGGGCCCAGATGAGGGGCCCGGTGGGAACAGCAGAAGTCTGTGGGCAATGTTGTGCAACTGCTTGAAACACCATGGAGCTCTGCAAATCCCCTGCCTGCTCTGATGATACATTGGCGCTACCCAATGCTTGTGAAGGCTTGCTGACTCAGGGTTGACATGAGTCTAAAATCAACTGTGGGGAGACTGACTGAAAAAGTTATATGAGTGATGCCTTGTCCCATGCCCATCACTTAGAAGGGTGGGAGGCCTGCTTGGATAGAAGGACAACAGCCTCCCTTCTACCTCAGTCATCCTTGTAGGAGCCCCAAAGCACTCTCCTCAGCACCATACTATGCTGAGTTGCTTCAGGGCACAGACCCACCAACATGGTTAGCATTGATCTACAGTCTGGGAGGTTATGCCAACATTTTTGGGTCTGGCACTTCAGAAGGCTACATTTTACCCACTATAGGAGTGAGAAAAAAAGAAAAGAAGAAGTATATGAAACTCTTTTATAAAGTTGGTGTTGTGAAATAAACTTTCCTTGTCAGTAATGTTTCATCTGGCTTTTATCATAGGCAGCCATAGAGTAGGGATATGAGTTGACAGCTAGTGTGCCAAATTATGGTAATAAGTAAAGTAATGAAGGATTTGACCTAGTTGTGCAAACAGCAAGTGTGCCCAATGAGAGTTTCCTTTCTTTCTCCTTTGGGTTGTGAAATGGGCGTGTTAAGCAAGGCGAATCAGGAGGGTAGACAGGGAAGGAAAGGGAAAGTGGTGGAGGTTCAAGGACAGTGCCCTGCCCATGGGGAATAGGGGGGCAGGGTGTCAGGTTGGCGAGGAGAGAGAACTGAAGGCATCCACTGGCAGCCACATTCAAATCTTTTGTTAGTTAAATAAGAGTAGGTGTTCAAGAGCACAGGAGATGAGGAAGGACGCCTGGCCCAGATGGTGCCAGGAGCTGCTGTGCCAGGCCTCCTGATGCCCTGACCTCTAGCAGCGGGTCCCAAAGTACCAATGCTTGGGTCAAGGGTGCCTCAACCAACTGTCTGGGCTCCTGCAGTTCATGGGCCTCAGCTGCTCTGGCTCTTTTACTACTTGGCTTTAACCGTATAATACAGGTGTTTAATACAGGCATTCTTGAAGTAGGTGCATATGCAGCAACGAGTGTTCTGCAACCATAGAGCCCTAACAGGGTGGCAGAGGGCTCTGACTGACCTCCTCACTGCTACTTTGGAGCCTTCTCAGTGTGACATTTAACTAGTAGGAAACCCCATGCCCAATAGCTTATTCCTTGGGATAAGTTTATAGACATTAATAGCTAACCTTATTAAGTGCTTTTTATGTGACTGGTATTGTAATAAGCCCTTTACTTACAGAGTCTGATTTATCTAAGTACTGCTAGTTTGCCCATTTCACAGGTGGGATATGAAGGCCCAGCTAGAGGAGTTAGAATTGGAGGTGGCTTCATGGGCAAGCTCTGTGGCTGCAGGCTCAAACCCATTTGCTGCTCCCAGGATCGTCTCCAGCTTTAATCTTCTTTCTTTGCAGTTCCCCTTTTGTAAATAATGACAACAATACCAACTTCTCTTGGCAACTGTGAAGACTGAGTAAGTTAATATAGGTACAATGCTTAGATTCCTGCACTTAGTGCATTACCAATAATTATCAGCTATTGTAAATGTTAAGCTATAGCAATTTCATTGGCACTCATATTTGGCTATTAATACTTTTGTTGTATGAATTCTATTCTTTTATAATTTGAATTTTCTAGTACATTATTACACTTATAATTACTTTCTCTTTAAAATATATGGTTTTAGCATATTTGAATTAATTGTATTGAAAAGAAATATAAAACTTACCTGAAACCAAAGATACTACACCAACATTTATACCACAAATAGTCTTGTTAAAAAAAAAGCGGGCCCAGCTGGTATGGCTCAGGGGTTGAGCATCGACCTATGAAACAGAAGGTCACAGTTCTATTCCAGGTCAGGGCACATGCCCAGGTTGTGGGCTCGATCTCCAGTGTGGGACTTGCAGGAGGCAACCGACCAATGATTCTCTCTCATCTTTGATGTTTCTATCTCTCTCTCCCTCTCCCTTCCTCTCTGAAATCAATATAAATATATATATATAAAGTGGGTACAAACATGAAAAGGTGTCAGCTTCACTTTTTGAAAGTGGACATACAGAAGGCCAAAAGACATATAAAAAAATGCTCAAAGTCACTAATCATCTGAGAGATGCAAATCAAAATGACAATGAGGTACC